ATCTAAACAGATATAAGGTCAGAGGTAAAAAAATTGTTCAGAATTGATAGTGTTGTTATCTATGTCATAACATAAGGCTTTTCTTCGATTTTCCGAAGACGTAGACATAATTACATAGACGTAGATATTACGGAAGTTACATACAACCTTGTTGATAGTTTCACCGGTTCATAGTCGGTAACCTCAAAAACCGTAAAGTATTCGAAAGACCGGAAATAAAATTAAAAAAACAAACACGATATAAAACTGTAAAAATAATAAATGCGTGGGCGCATACAAAGACAACATTGTTTTTTTTTATCTCTAAGAGCAACGAGGTAGCACATCACACATCCAAAAATAAATGTTTAACTAATACATTTGTGTATAGTCCTGTACCTTCAGTCTAAATACGCTGTTCATTTCTCACGAACACCGCTTATATTCAAACCCTTTAACGGTAGGCAGTGGCTTGGCTCTGCCCCTGATATTGCTGAAGTCCATGGCTGACGGTAACCACTCACCATTAAGTGGGCCGTATGCTCGTCTGCCTACAAGGGCAATAGAAAAAATCCTAATCAAAGACAAGTAAATATTTATTATCATTACTGGTGGTAGGACCTCTTCTGAGTCTGCACGGGTAGGTACCACCACCCTACCTATTTCTGCCGTGAAGCAGTAATACGTTTCGGTTTGAAGGATGGAGCAGCCGTTACTATACTGAGACCTTAGAACTTATATCTCAAGGTGGGTGGCGCATTTACGTTGTAGATGTCTATGGGCTCGAGTAACCACTTAGGGTGAGCTGTGAACTCGTTCACCCACCTAAACAATAATAATAAAAAAAGACTGAGTATTCCGAAGATTCCGAATAGCTCGGCGATTCTGAATTCGCGCTGAAGTCACTTCTGATTAAGACGAACAAATGTTTCAATATTTTTTTTTGTTTTTAATTAATTCCACTGTCGGATGTATATTGTTAATACGAACTGAGGCCAAGGTGTATCTGAATATAATGTAGAATATCTAGGCCTGATCTAGACAGACTGCAGCCTGCCAACCATTAAGCAGACGACAGGGAAGCACTCAAAGATGTAACTTCCCGACCGTAGCACAGTTTTACTGGTGGTAGGACCTCTTGTGAGTCCGCACAGTTAGGTACCACCACCCCGCCTATTTCTGCCGTGAAGCAGTATTGCGTTTCGGTCTGAAGGGTAGGGCAGCCGTTGTAACTATACTTGAGACCTTAGAACTTATATCTCAAGGTGGGTGGCGCATTTACGTTGTGGATGTCTATGGGCTCCAGTAACCACTTAAACCAGGTGGGCTGTGGGCTCGTCCACCCATCTAAGCAATAAAAAATAAATAAAAAATATTTAGGTTTGAAAGATCGATTGTATGTTTGTTTCTATATCTTTCGGTAAAACTAGATTGGCAACTTATGAAATATGCGTATCCGATATTACTCTAAGCCGGTATTAATTTTGCTAAAAAAATATATATATATATTTAAGCACTCTATCATCACTGCGAGTGACTCACTAGAATGCTTTGATAAAACACGTGCTTGTACTACGCCCGTGTGACGTGTGTCTACTGACCACCTATTCATTCCGATCTCCTGCCCAACTATGTTCCCCTAGTACATTAAACGTCTCTTAAGTCGATTCTTAATCCGAATTTTAAGATTTAGTTTAGTGTTGTTGGACACGCCTAGAGTGCTTTCCGAAAGTAAAGTTTACGTTAATATTCATAAGGAGGATTTTCGTTCGAAGCTAATAAAGCGACGCTTAAATATCAGACGGGAAAAGGTAGTCGTGAAACAAACTTTAATGATGGAGTAATAGATTTGAAAATTCAATGCGCTCAAAATTTCCAATAACTCTTAATGTGTATGCCGCCCTGGTACTTGTGAACGCTCGTATTCGTTTGTTCTTAGACTGTGACTAAATTTTGTTTCTCGACATCCTTTTTTTCTTATTTAATGTTGTTTGATTAGTTTTATGAACATTTTTTTTTTGTGGGTTGAGCACATCGCTCACTTGATGGTGAACGTTCACCAGCCCTAATTGACACTAGCTGTGTCAAACTGTTGACAGCTTGTAGTAGGTGTAGTAGCTGGTGGTAGAACCTCTTGTGAGTCCGCGCGGGTAGGTGCCACCACCCTACTTATTTCTGCCGCGAAGCAGTAATACGTTTCGGTTTGAAGGGTGGGGCAGCCGTAACTATACTGAGACTTTAGAACTTATATCTCAAGGTGGGTGACGCATTTACGTTGTAGATGTCTATGGGCTCCAGTAATCACTTAACACCAGGTGGGCAGTGAGCTCGTCCACTAATCTAAGCAATAATAAAAAAAAAACGTAGGGGCGCTGTTGAACTCCATACAAATTTGAGTTAACTTTTACGCGATCGAGAAGTAAAAAAACTCGCACTAAGCACGCGGAAAATAAAATGTACGAATGACATTAGTTGTAATATGTCATTTATCTTCTTTGAGTACAAGGCTGGTAAAAGCCCCCTAACATCAAGTTGAGTTCGATCAAACTCGACTAAGTACAGTGGTTAGAGAACAAATGCACAGGTGTACGTACGGGCACACAACGAACAGGTGAATTAGGCTGATTTCTATGGGTTTACGTGCCATTGAATTAGACTAGGGGATACTGTAGAGTCGTATTGTGTTAAAAGAATTTAATGGCTACTTTTTAATTTTTTTTATTTGCGTAGACAGGCAAATAACGTCTAATAAAATATTTGAGCCCGTAGATGTCATAAAATGAATAATGAAATAAATGAATTATTACTTCACTCAAATAATACTTATATATTTCTTATTTTTCCGGTTAGAACGATAGGACTGATATTATCAAATTATATTAAAAGTCCTGTCGCTTCCACATATACCAATTTATGTGCTGTGCTGAACTTATTCTGTCAAACCATATAAAAAACTAAATACATAATAATAGAATTACAAGCTTGGCACTATTAAATGAAGTAAAAAAACTAATCACAGATTACATAGTACACTTACTTACACTTTACAGTACTAATGATTGATTTTATTTTCCTTCAAAATCCTTAAATAAATGTGCTTGTATGTCCGATGTTGCCATAATTCAGAACTTTGAATTCTTTAAAAGACATTTTAAAAAAAAATCGTCTTCTCAACAATACTCATTCCGAATAGTTGATCTAAAAAATTGGCACGTGCTTAAATAGATACAACATATGCTCGACTACAACCGTAATTGCAACAATGCCATGTGTTTCACAATAACTTGTATCAAACAAATTGAAACCCTAACGGAATGAAAATAGAATACAATTATAATATTCGATGAATACTCGTTTTTAAGATGGCGCCGGATACAATATCACCTGTACAAATTAATGAACTCATATTGTTTTGTAATTATACGTGGCGCTGGCTGGTTTTTCACGACGCCGCGATGGTCCATTAAGAAAAAAAAAATGTTGCCTAATTACAAAACTTCAATAAAGAACACAGTTATTATAATTTTAAAATAACTCGGTAAACGTGTTTTTCTTGTTTTTTTTCTAAGTGTACTTTTTGATGTAGGTACCATATACTATGACAGCATTATTTTAATCACATAATAGTTAGCTTAGCATTGGTTAGCATTCTTGTTAAGAACGATGAAGAAGTTAGTATACGATACGTATAGGTAATCATTACAAAAATTATAATAGTTTATTGAAATAACAATAATACCTTTATACAAAGCCGTTCGTTGTGTCTATAGAAAAAACGCTGCCTCATAACCTGTAGGTAACATCTAACACTTTTTAACAACTTTTTTGACCCATTTATTTAGAACACACCTAAGGATTTTATTACTGGTGGTAGCTTCGATCAACAATAGTAACTAGATTTCGGGTCGGCGCAAAAATCCGTCTCGTTAAATAACAGCGCACTTGAAATGTGAGCTCTTATTTTGTTTAGTTCACTCCAGACACAGCCAATGTCAACCCGTCTCACAATGCCGCAGTGTGTATTCAAAAATTGCAAAAAATGCCCGAAAAAGCAATTTAACGGCCGGAGTATCTTACTTNGCCACCTGGCTATGAATCATATAGAAGTAATTAATGACAAACAAGAAGCTGCTAAGCCAGGATGCGTTTATCTACCTCATCATGCAGTTGGTTGTTCGCGAGGACAAAAGTACAACGAAGGTCGGCGTTGTTTTCGACGCTTCGTGTAAGGGTACCAGCGGCAAGTCATTGAACAATGATTTATTGGTAGGTCCAAGGCTTAAACCAGAGTTACGACACATAATTATGAAATGGCGTACTTATCCTATATGTTTCGCAGCGGACATAGTTAAGATGTATCGAATGGTCAAGGTCGTACCAGAGCATACTGACTTCCAGATAATGTCACAAGGGTACTATCAAATGTAAGAAATCTAAAATTGTAAGACCAGTCTCCAAACTTTGCATTTTGCCTATCGCTTTTTATAAATATAAATTTATTGATATTTTAAGAAAGGATCCTCTCTATTAACCCTGATTTTTGTAGATTTCTTTTCTAATTAACTAATTAATTAGTAGCACTTCTGAAGAAAGTTTCTTTATTTGGAGTATTTTTGTTTTTTATTAATCATATGAGTTCAGTTACGTCACGTATTTGTTTTATTCATGTTATTTTAGTAACTTTTTTAAAGCAAATATGTTTTTGATTGATTAAAGAAAACCCAAAAGACAAAAAAATATAACAGCATTTACAAAACTTAGGTCAATCTTATAAAAACACCATTCTCTTTCTCTATTACTAATTGTAAATTAAAACTATTGGAAATTAAAATTAGTTTTATTACAAAGTAAATTTTTAACTCTTCCAATTTATATCAAGTTTCAAGTTCAAATCCAGTTTCGATTTTTACTTCGCAAATAGAAACTTCGAGAAACGTTTTCAAATTGAACATTCCTTATGACAATGACTCTTCAAAAATTTTGACTTTCTTATTTTCGAAAACAGCCTGAGTGTGACTTACCTCTTCAAGAAGTCTGTGTATTCAGCCTGTCTGATAAGGCCAGTTCTCATCATAATCGTTTGGAAGCATTGTCGTTCGATGGCCCAAAGTCTGCAGTCCGTAGCGGCTTTGATGGTAGCTGTACGCTTGCAGTTGTACAAGATTGCCAGTTCCCCGAAGACCTTGCCTGGCGCCATCGTGCTCAGGTATTTGTTCTCCCTCGACACTTCGACTCGGCCTTCTGTAGAGAAATAGTGATAGTGACTTTAGTATTATTCTGTTATTTTTAATACGCCTTTATTAGCTTCAGACGTATGTATGTTAGTATGTAACGGAATCTTTGAACATGATTTTGAACCCCTTCAAAACCTAGGATTAAGTCAATATTTGGTATATTTATTAAGGACCGATGACAATTCAATATTTAAAAAAATAATTGAAAAAATTGAAATTCAACTAAAAAATGAAAAATAACTAATAGTTCAAACAGCAAGCTTGCAACAAGCTTGGCAAGAATTGCGAATGTTTGTTATAGTGAAGATCCTAATGTTCACTACATGGATTTATTTAATTGCATTAATGATGAATTTAGTGCCATCTTTACTTCTAAAACTCTGATCTTACATAATAAAAGATCATTCAATGAATGGGCGACTGTTGGAATTCACAAAAGTAGGCAGAGATTATATGACCTTTATCATGAAAAATCCTNGCCCGAAAAAGCAATTTAACGGCCGGAGTATCTTACTTTCGGTAAGTACATGAAGTATAAACTATATTTTAAGCTTTAAACTTATAAATAATATTAAATTTTGAACAAAATTACCGATTTTTAACCACCGCTACAAATGTTGGCCAAGGCTCGGCCAACACATGGACAAACTTTTGCTTAACAGAACAGTAAATGCATGGAGTAGATTTGTGTTGTAATAATTTTTTAAAATTTGTTAGCAGTACTTCAAAATTAGTTCGTTAAAATTGTTTAATGCTGCTTTTGTGTCTGTTTGTTGGACTCTCATTAGATACTTAGCTTTCCATTTTTATTTTAGCTTTCCTAGCAATCACGTGTGCAGAATGGATCTCGATTGTCGCCAGAGAAACAAGAGATGACTTTTATAAGCCAGCTAAGATCTCCGCTTATTGACACTGGACACCTTTGCCTTCCGTGCTCACGGCTACTGAAACGTGGCCGAAACATTGTAATAAAAATACCGCGCTTGAAACCGTTTAAACGTTGCCGGCGGCTCGAATTAAGAAAATAAGCAACTCTTTCAGGGGGCTGGGTGTACAACTATTCAACAAGATCCCACAAAACGTTCAACTACTACCTGTTCATAGATTTAAGAAAACTGTCAAGGAACGTTTGTGCAACAAGGCATATTATAAAGTTAAGGATTTTTTACTAGATGGCACTACGTGGGAATGAGGCGTTCGCTCCTGGCCTTTTAATTTTTCATTATTATTATTATTTATTTGAATTGTATTTTTTTGACTTGTTTTTTTGTATACTGTAAATATGTTTTCTTGTTTAAAAAAAAAAAGAAGAAAATAGTTGAGAAAATACAAAAAAAAAAAAAAGCCCGCTGAGTTTGTTTCGCCGGTTCTTCTCAGGACTGTGGCTTTTTTGGAACCGGTGGTAGAGTTAACATTTTCTTTTACATTTTGACATTCAACAAGTGTGTTTTTGATGACATCTAAGTTGAAATAAATGATTTTGAATTTGAATTTGAATTTGTTGTTTTATTATGTGCACTGGTCGCGAAAACTTACAAATATATATTACACAAAAACGTAACGCTAATAAAATAATAAGTAATGTATAGATACTAACAAACATACATTTCCAAAACATAAAAAGTAAACAACTAAACTTTTACTTTAATTCATTAATAAATTATTTTAGTGTTCAGCGCGACTCCCTTACTTCCTGTAGTAAATAGAAATCGGCATTTCAAGAAGCAAAAATAAATAAAGCAAAACGATGTTAGTTCTCAGAGCAATTAAGGGAAAAGTTACTTTATTTGTTGTCTTTTAAGATTGATTTAACATTAAAAGTTGTTTAAAATATGTCTTTTTATTGGTAAGTGACAGGAGTAATTTATTGCTTTGCTCGTTTTATGTGACGAATAATCGTAAGTATTAGATAATATTTTAGAGATTTGTGACTTTATTACTAGGTGCCATAGTTGTAATTAGTTTGAACGTAAAAGTGTTTCAAAACTTTTTTCTCCGTTTGTTAGTAAACGAATGTAGCTATATAAGTATATATTCACGCGGACAGTTTTTGCTTTAATTTTGTACGTATCCCTTTATCTAGTTACTATTGTTGATCGAAGAAATGGACATTTAGATTCTCTATTCAGTTTCGAACAACTAAAATTAACACAGAATCTATAAATCTGTTACTGGTGGTAGGACCTCTTGTGAGTCCGCACGGGTAGGTACCACCACGCCGCCTATTTCTAACGTGAAGCAGTAATGCGTTTCGGCTTGAAGGGTGGGGCAGCCGTTGTAACTATAGACTGAGACCTTAGAACTTACATCTCAAGGTGGGTAGCGCATTTACGTTGCAGATGTCTATGGGCTCCAGTAACCACTTAACACCAGGTGGGCTGAGAACTCATCCACCCATCTAAGCAAAAAAAAATAAAAATAATAAAAAAACAGGATTCCGTTATTCACTATTGTGTTTACCCCCGAACGCACATTAATAACTATCGGAAACAACAAAAACCATTATTTATCACCACCGTTATTTTCACGCCAGCACGTGAACTTAACTAGCATCGACATAAAGGATCGCTCATCCGTAAATTCATATAAAACTGTATTCCATTTAAAATCACTACGCGTTGTTAACAGGAGATTTCACGGGGGCGTTGTGCTGCATAGGTGAAATGTTTAAAGTTAGTGCAAATAGTTGTTAATTGTAGTTTTTGTAAGCAGCTTTCAGCTGTTTTTTTTTATATTTTAATTTTAGAATTTTTCTATGTAATTGGCTAATAATAAATAAAGATATGTAGTTAATAGTTGAATTAGGTCACATCCCGGTATGGCTTTCAACAGGTAATTCCATTAACGGTGCTTTTAGGTACCACAAGCACCGGTCACCGTACTCGTCGAACCCGTCGCTTGCGACGAAGGACTCGACGAGCGAATTAACCCATAGACACAGACAGCCCACTGAGTTACTCGCCGGATCTTCTCAGTGGGTCGCGTTTCCGATCCGGTGGTAGATTCTGCGAAGCACTGCTCTTGCTAGGGCCAGTGTTAGCAACATTCCGGCTTGAACCCCGTGAGCTCACCTACACGTTAGGGTGGAGCTGAAATAGCCTCTCAAGGATATCAGCATAGGTAGGAAAAAAAAAGTATGGCTATCGCTAGGCACGTATATGGATTATGTCACTTTATAAACGAGTCGTGCCCAATTATTATTATTTCTTTTTTATTTTCAAAAGATATGGCCATGGCAATAACAATAAATTGACTTTGTTAATTATATGCAAAATTTCATATGATCACAAAAAAATAGTAGATGCGTATATGATTCTCTACAGAATCGTTTTTTTATTTATAATAAGCTTTATCTGGAAATCTAATACCTTAAGAATTGTTAAATAAGACTAAATTAAATAAGAATTTACAATAAAACATTTATTTAAATTTGAAAGCAAACAATAAAATACGAAATAAACAAATAAAACAGTCGACATTCATCAATATTTATACTGCATTAATTAAGATAATATGAAGAGAAAGAACCGTATAGAAAGCGAGATTTTAGTATTAACGAATAGAAAATTTTATCCATATTTAAAAAAAAAAAAACATTTTAAAAATTATTTAAACACTATCCTACCCAATTATGTAGAATCTGCCTAGCTATTTAAAGTCTAAATTACTGGTGGTAGGGCCTCTTCTAAGCCCGCGCAGGTAGTTACCATCACCCTGCCTATTTGTAGCCGTTCTAACTATACTTGAAACCTTAGAACTTATATCTCAAGGCAGGTTGCGCATTTACGTCGTAGATGTCTATAGGCTCTATTAACCACTTAACACTAGGTGGGCTGTGAGATCGTTCTCACCCATCTAAGCAATTAAAAAAAAACCAAGAGCTATGTAATTCTAGCTATGCTGTCCTATACATCAAAACCAGCCTGGCCACCTCGAACTGTACTGAACTGAACTTAAATCAATTCTATTCATTATATTATTACTTAAACGGGAACAATAACCCAAATTGGTAGCACTGTCTATCTTTTATTAGCATACGTGTGACACAACCAAAGTAACGCGGTCTAAAGGACTGTCGTTGTCCAAATTTTATATAGACTTCTTCAGATGAATGACAGACAGTACTTGGAAAATATTTTGATTTGTGCTGACTTCTTAACAAACCTCTTTAATATTATTCTGTAAAGACCACTGCTCCCCTTTTTTTCATCATCACGTAACATTTAGTATCAAGCAACAATTATATTAATGATTTTATTGATGTATGTTTTATTTTTTCCATGTGACGGGTACATTTTGAGTACTTGCTAGTTATCGTAGCTCAAAGGGAAAGGGAAGATCTTCAACTGAGCGGCTGATATTGCTGGGTAGACCGACGCTCCGATTTTTTTTCCTACCTAAGCTGATAGCCTATTTCAGCGTTACCTTACTAGTAGGCGAGCTCACGGGGCTCAAACCTGTCAACGTTGCTAACACGAAACCTAGCAAGAGCTGTGCTTCGCAGAATCTACCACCGGATCGGAAACGCCACCCACTGAGAAGATCCGGCGAAAAACTCAGTGGGCCGTGTCTGTGGGTTAATTTACTCGTCGAGCTTTTATATATGCAGAACTTTTATATATGCAAACTTATCATGAAAATGTCGTAAGCGAGATTCAGGCATCTGTCAAATACCTTTTGTTGCATGATGGCTACCTGCCACAGTAATATTTACAAATATCAAAATTTGTTATTTATTGTATGTCACAATCGCCATGCACAGTTTTTTTTACGCAACGATACAATGTGAGTACGCAAATACTTAGTGATGTATGTTCACAGATCAGTGTAATGAAAATGTCCAATAATATGTACTAGAGGTCCCGCAGCAGTCGAGCTTCGACTATAATTAAATGGAATTGTAAGTTTGTACACTATTATGATTGTATTTTATATTTCTATAATCACAAATTTCGCCAAGGCTACACTATAAAAAAATATTAATAAATACAAACAATATTTAATCTATTCTCAATTTGACCACAGCTCACGTCAAGAACAAAAGTTTGACAATAAATAGTATGCATGCGTGTGTGCGTCAAATACATGGTATGTAGTGTGTGTAATGTTTTCTTTATTGATTTAATGTAACTTTTATGCATTATTTTAAAAAAATATTAGCAATGTGCACTTCTTCTCTATATTTTCTATAACTGTGGAAAATTTCATACTCCTCCGTCCGCGCAATTTTCGTAAAAAGGGATACAAAGTTTTTGCTTCACGTATTAATACATAGATAAAGTCGATGGAGTCCATAGTACAGACTAGGTACATAGAAGCAAATTAATATCACGAAAGTGTTTCAAGGTGACTCGCTCCGGACAATTTAACGGTAGGTTATGAGTTCGGTTGCGTGATCTTTATTTATATAGATAGGTCTTATAAATATTTTACTTTGATCTCAATTTTGTAAATACGTGTAATTAACACAGCGACTTTAATGTTTAAATGTTATCAAATTAATCAAAGTCCAATTTTTTACATTTTTGTATTTTTTTTCTCCTCTTTTTTCCTAAGCTTATCAGCTTCTATCGTCTTGAGAGATCATATCAGCGTCACCGGGCCAGTAGGTGAGCTCACGGGGCTCAAGCCTGACGTTGTTGCTAACACGAACTCTAGCAAGAGCCGTGCTTCGCAGAATCTACCACCGGATCGGAAACCCGACCCACTGAGAAGATTCAGCGAGAAACTCAGTAGGCTTTTTTTGTATTACGACTACACTGTAGTATTAAGTTTTTCAACATTATAAAACTATGATACTTTCAATAGACTACAGAGAAAATAAATATCGTAAAACAAATTTGGTATTAAGTCTCAAGCAATTCGGCTCATTTACATATTTTCGTAGTAAAGAAGTCGATTTAAATTTTTCACACTCAAATGGCTTTTGTAGAAGGCGACTAAAGAATTGACCGAATAATAGGCAGAAGTGTTCTCTGAATTTTACATAAGTTCGCACCATGCATTACAACAACAACAAAAAAAAACTGTTTTCATCCAAGAAGCAATCATATTGAGACTTTCAACTCCAGGTTTCAAAATAAATGACTATGGGCACCCGTAACCACTTAATTCCAGTGGAGCCGTGAGCTTTTATGCCCATATTATATAATAATAATAAAAATCTATACTTTACTTATAATGTTATATAGAGGAAATATTTGTTTGTTTGTTTGTATTGAATAGGCTCCAAAACTACTGAACCGATTTGAAAAATTCTTTCACTGTTTGGGAGCTACACTATTCCGAGTGATATAAGATATAATCTTTTTTGAAAAAAATTAGGGATCCTTACTGAAACTCCAATAATGTAGCCCGAGGTGTAAAAAAAATACCTAAAATATTCTTTACATCGCGTGCCCTGCGAAAACTATTGATGATAGAATAAAATAATGTACTACGACTTTGTAGAACACACTATAATTTACAAAAAGTGTCGGGACAGTAAATGTCTAACTATTATAGTTATGTCACAAAAAGTGTTCTTTTATTTTAAAAAACAAAACAACGTCAAATATACTTCCTTGAAATTTTTGTTAAAGACCCGAGCGGAGCCGGAGCGGTCCGCTTTGTATTTTATAAAACAACTTTAGTTAAGAATTGTATAAATATGTTATGAATAGTTATGTCACCTTGATTTTGATTTGATTTCGATTGCTCTAAAAACATAATATTTCGAATCGGTAAACCGATTTAATTGGCCCGACCTGAATAATAATACTCAACTTAAGCACGTTTGAATCTATGCAAATATACATGCATCATTTGGTCGGAAAGTGGGACGAAACGAAACAAAATTTAATTGATATGCCAGCCTCGGTGGATTTAGCAACCTTTGAGTGGCCCGCGACGTGGCTGAGCCTTAGTGGTCACAGTTCTAAATCGTCGGTGTGTGTCGTAAGTGGAAACGATTACTGACTGACAGCAAGCTAATTTGTTTTAACGAATAAAATATTATGTTTCTTGATCTTTTGATTCGCTCTCAATGTTTCAAAAGCAGATAATAAGATCTTATAACAGATTGACAATGAATTCTTTCATAATTCCAATACACGACTTGAAGCGAAAAATACTTTGTATTTAAAACAAAATATTCAATTTGAAAACTAAAAGGTTAATGTATAGGTTTCAAAGTTAACAAAGGTTTATGTTAATTGTTTAAGAAAATTTACATTTAGCCCGTAAAACAGACAAACACGTTCGGTTACGAATGAATAATAAACGTATGCGTTGTCCGGGTCAATTTTTTTTAATGTATTTTACATACCGGATTTGTGTGCACCAATAAATTAGATTGGTGTTTCATTGGCATAGTAAAATCAAAACCTAAATTAAAGCATTATTTTAAATGTGTATCGCATCTGTTTTTTTTTTTTTTTTATTGCTTAGCTGTGTGGACGAGCTTACAGCCCACCTGATGTTAAGTGGTTACTGGAGCCCATAGACATCTACAACGTAAATGCGCCACACACCTTGAGATATAGTTCTAAGGTCTCAGTATAGTCACAACGGCTGCCCCACCCTTCTGTACAAAAATGAGGCCAATCTGAAGGAACCTTTACTGGTGGTAGGACCTCTTGTGAGTCCGCACGGGTAGGTACCACCTCCCTGCCTATTTCAGCCGTGAAGCAGTAATTCGTTTCGGTTTGAAGGGTGGGGCAGCCGTTGTAACTATACTGAGACCTTAGAACTTATATCGCAAGGTGCGTGGCGCATTTACGTTGTAGATGTCTATGGGCTCCAGTAACCACTTAACACCAGGTGGGCTGTGAGCTCGTCCACTCATCTAAGCAATAAAAAATAAAAAAACCAACATTATATCTGTTAAAAAATTTAATATAGTGAATACGAGTAGCCTCTTTAGTATTCAAGTTGACAATGGTTGAATCATGTAAGTAGTTGTATCGTTTTAGTGACATCATCTAACTGCTATCCGTTTCGCGACCTACAACTGTCTCACTGACTATATACATATGAACATCGATCAACACGTGTACACATGAGATCAAAATAGCACGATATCTGATAAAATATACTGGAGGTTAAATAACAGATTACACAAAATAAACTTGTTACTTGTTGTGGAATAGAAGAATGCGTTACCTGATTCTTCATTTTTCTTAAACTTATGACTCGAATCTTCCAATCGTGTCACGTCTAACACGATCCCCGCATCCAATGAAGCTTCAGTTGCGGTGCTATCACGCTGTACATTCCCAGTTCGTCTCTTGCGTGTTCCATAGGTATGAACAGGTACTATTAATTTCGGCCGTGGTATTGAAAAATCAGAGTCCGAACCACTAGATGAACTTTTAGCACTTCTCGTAAACACACCATTTCCATTAGTTGCACGTTCCTCATTGATATGGTCTTTCGGAGGTGCGAATTTTGTAATGTCATTGTACCTTTCGTACCGATCGTCACTTTTCACTCTCACGGTGTTATATAACTTACCATATTTATCGGGTTTGATTTGTTTTGTAACACTATTTATAGTCCGATAATCACTTTCTTTAGACGGATCAACAGCGTGGAACCCGTTGCTGATCGGCGGTGCGAGTTGGTTCTTACTTCCGTTGAACATTTCGTACTGCATTAGCGTCAACTGTTCGCTCGGCGACAGATTTCTTTTCGGTTGCGTGACAGTGACACCGTTGTACTGCGCATTGTTGTGCTGGACCGTGTCAAGGTACGCTCGAAGTGGTACTCTACCTTCGCTTTTAACTCTTAATGATTTAGAACGAAAGCTAGGTTTAGCGTCTTCGATGCGTCCGTTTCGTTCGTTCGCCGGTTGCGTAGTGTGGTTCGGAAGTTGATCGCATGTAGATAACGACTGTTTAATAGGCCGCATGTATAGACCCAAATCTTCCGGTTCACTATCCAATTCCAAAGTTTGTTTACCGTTTCTGACTTTCATCGGGTTCAGATCTAAGGTGGCCATTGAATGTATAATTTTGTACACGGTATTACCGTTTTGTTTGGGGTATTCATTTGGCGAATTTCTATCATTCCTACCACTTTTTTGGATCTGCTTTAGCTTATCGCTATCGGTGTCATTGTTTTGTTGACTGACTCTAGAATAATATTCATAATATGATTCTGATGATGGATCAGGAGGTACTGGACCAGGATCAGGTAAAGGATAGTAATTTTTCTTTGAATCAACTTTTCTCTGTCGATGTGCGTATTTCAAAGAATCTTTACGTTGTGGCGGAATGGGTGGCTGTTTACTATTCGAACCAAATGCTTCGATGTCCCATTCTGTGAAGTTTCTTCGTTTGACGCGTCGCAGAGTCGAAGGCTTATAGCCATTTGGCATATCTTTAAAACTATAACTGTGCTTTAATTTGTTTTGAACAATGTAATTATCACTCGTCCTAGCTTTTTCTTCTATATTTTGTTGATATTTGGCTAATTGAGATATGTTTTCATTAGGAACATCAAAGTAACACCCGCTATCTTCTTGTGAGTATTTTTTTTGGCTGTATTCGTTTTCTTCCGAACGGCCGACATCTCTACATGATTTGCTCCTCGATATAGAATTACATTTTGAACTTGATTGATCGTCGTTAGAATTGCATTTATTAAGATTCTTAGCGCCGACCCAGTTTGCCGCATAGACAAGGTCCATAGTTCTATCCCCGAGGGATAGCCACGGGTCCTCCATGACCGCTTTTCCTGGATAATGTTTGATTTTCATCTTGACTTCAAACCTTCAGACTGTGTGTCATTATAAATATTTAGTGTCTTCAATTTAAGGGACCGGTGCGGTGAAACAAACTCCATGTTTTTTAAACACAATTTATATTACGTCACTTTATTTTGATTTGCTTATATTTTGATCATTCTCGTGGCGATCTGTGGAAATTATAAATTCATACTACAACAGAATTCCTATACCCCTTATAGCGGTCGTGTTTACAGTTAAAATGATTGCATTAATATTGTCACGTTTCGTCGACTTGTTCGAATTAAAACAATGAAATCGTTTTGCAATCGTTATGCTTGTTCCATAAACCGAGACATGATATTAAGCCATGCACAAAATAATAACATAAGTGGCTTAGGATTAGTTAAACTTGAAACAATGGTTAAAGTTTCAATTTGTTTCAATGTTGTATCTATTAAGCAGTGTTTCATTATTGGTTATTCAAATCTTGAATTGTAACAATTAATTGAATTATTTTTTGTCTACCAAACTGTAAAACCAATCTAAATGCAAACAGAGCAGAGAATTAACTTCAAATAACAAGACCCTTTACGAAAGCGGATGCGTCACGGGACTCAACTATATTTCTTACACAATCACACAAACATACACCCACAAAGACAAGGAAGCGGTCAGCACGGTTCAAGACTCCACCAGCCAATGCTAATAGAATCATATTACGTAATAATTAGATAATGGGGTCCGACTGGCTGTGCACCGCTAACTAAACAGAAGCAAAACTCGCTCGCTCATATTAATTCACTTTCACTAACTTTTAATAATATTGAATTCGGAGAAAACGAAGACGGTACAAAGTTTAACGATACGCTTAAGATAATTAACGTGCAATGATTAAACACTTGATCGAGTTTGTAGGAAACGATTTCTAAGACAACGCATAGACAGACGGGTTGAAAGCGGTCATTGATCCACATATCCACTCGCCTGGTCAACGATGATACGTGGTGAGAAACATATTCAGGAACACAACAGATCGGTAATGTTTATAGAAATGCAATATAAACATAAAAGAGACCAAAACTATACAATAGACGAATAGAAACCCTATTAACTAGAGAATTGGACATGAAATCATCGATACGATTTTTAGCGAATAGAATATGGCCGGTACAAATACAAGAATATTTCGCTATTCGCTAATAGTAGCACTTTCTTAGAGTCTCTTAAAAGCTAGTTGGCGACTTTCTCGAACAACTATTCAATGGGCTAGAAGCGGATTAAGATGACAATATCCCCTGTGTAACTCGGCAAGCGATACAGCTTTCATGAAATCTCGTTATTTACAGAATGAAAACCATTTACAATAACTACCATTTTTAATAATACAGACTTCCGAAATCCGTAGGAAAAAAACTAATGCGATTTCACAAACTAAAACACGATTATAAATCTATCTAATCTTTTTATTGAACGAAATATATTTTGATTTACAAAAAGAAACTATTTAAACTATATTCTATCTTCATAATGAACGTTGAAATGAGTTAACAACTAAAAATGATAGAAAAGTTGTAGTAAAAAATGAGTGACAATACTGGGTTCCCAAAATGTCTTTGTTTGACATTAGAGGAATAGAAAAGCCGGCAGCAACTATACACAAAACGACTTTATAACAAAGACATTGAACCGAAAGGTCACTTATGCTTGATAAGGCTTGACAAAATTGTTCGTGTTTCCTGGTCATTGTATATTGTACGGCTAGTAAATATTATAATGTGCTTTGTAATGCCAACTTTCTACGGTCTGCCGACCTTTATAATAGTATGATAAGATCGTAACGAAATGAGACATGTGAACTATTGAAAGTAAACAATCAAGGCGGAGGACCGCATTATGTGGAAAGCATTGGGGAAGGCCTATGTCCAGCAGTGGGCAGATAAAGGCTGATGATGATGATGATGATGAATCAATTACGGCTGATTTAAAATGCTAACAATAGTACTTTCTAATCTCAATCGTTACAATGTGTACTAGTTTAATAAATTAATAGAACTGATAAATTGGTAATAACTCGTATGAGTGCAACAATGATTTCAATAACCTAACGAACCGTGAACATGTATTGCTATATACTTATCGATAATTACGAAACTGGTATATGAACGATATAGTCTATTAATTTTGTAATGGGATACGCAAAACTCGGAAACATTTTCCTTGAGATAATTATAATAAGCTGCTGTGTTAAAACAGCCGATTAGGCCCCGGGTTGCGCAATAGAAGGGCTTACCATAATATTGGTCAAATTTTCAAAAGAAGATTGATAGTGATGTATTACTATGCAGAATTCATTGGATATAAAAGATTTTGTTGTTTATCCGAAGACATAGAAAGCTCCGGGCGCTTGAGCATTAATATGCAAAAATATCTTAGCCGTGAAGAGAACGCTCCAAAATACTTTCACGGCACACGAGTAGCGCACGCAAATGCGAGAGGCTTGCAGTAACCTTGTGCCTAGAGCCTTCGGAAACTATACTTTCAATTTGCAACTCGATCGAAGGACCCAAAACTATTATATAACTCCGAACGACGAACCACAGACAGACACAATAAATAACAATCGACTAACAACACTTAATTTTCAAACAACTGTATAGCTCTTTGTTAATTTTCGTCATAAATTAAACCGCAATAACAAGTATAGGTTTTGTTGTAGTACGAAAATAAACACTTTATTTTTCGATGAATAGGGGAATCCTTTAAAAATCCATCAAAAGCAACAGCCGCAAGCTGCATCGCTGTATATAAACACAATTTCACACCTTAACATAAACACAAAACGGACACTGACGTACAAAAAATCGTTTTCCGAATTAAATATTCGTGCGGAAAACAATGAAAATTATTGTAAACAAAAAATATTTTTCTTTCTTACAAACACGATCGCGACTAATTTAAATTCGGAACGCAAGACATCGGAACGGCAACGACCAATCACGACAGCGCCGCTGCGCTTACTGCTGAACGCTGTACTGGTCTACAGTGTCTACACAACGATTCAACGATCCTATCAACTCCTGCACAACACTTCACTGCGGCGACGCGCACGAAAGAGACGCATCCATATGAGTAACAAAGACACATACACAGCTACCTGAGCAATAAAAGCTGTAAGCTCATATCAAAAAAGTACGAAACGGTTCTCTTTCAATTTTGATCCTAGGGAGGTCATGTCTCGGAACAATTTCTTAACATGCCCAAGTAACATTATTTTGTTTGATTCTCGTCACTCTTGATACATTTAAGATTTTTTTTTTTTATTGCTTAGATGGGTGGACGATCTCACAGCCCACCTGATGTTAAGTAGTTACTGGAGCCCATAGACATCTACAACGTAAATGCGCCACCCACCTTGAGATATAAGTTCTAAGGTCTCAAGTATAGTTACAACGGCTGCCCCACCCTTCAAACCGAAACGCATTACTGCTTCACGACAGAAATAGGCAAGGTGGTGGTACCCATCCGCGCGGACTCACAATAGGTCCTACCATCAGTATATAGTAATATCTTATAAAATTAAACAAACTATGAACTATTATAAACCAAGAATGTTTGAACAGATGTAATCAATTATTCACAGTATTCTGTTAACGGCGGATAAATACGTACCTACGTAAGTTATCATAACTTTAGGTACATTGGCAATGGCAAACGGACGAAGTAAAACAGAGCAAGAAGCAAAAATTCGATTCGCGCAAACACATTATTATTATTTTTAACTTCGAATGGATTTCTTAAAATGCTTTGTCAATTGTAACGGTTTGAACGAACGAATGCTCTAATGAAAATGCTTGGGTTAATATAATTAGTGAAGGCATATTAAAAACGAGCTGAATGGAAGCAAGGCGATGACCGTGACCGAGTACCTATCAAAATGTTATCCACTGAAGGCTAAGACCTCTAAATCTTAACCGAACTGCGTTTAAGAACGATTATTTTAATACAATAGCTGAATCAGTGAGTGTGAATAATTTATTTTTAACACTAGTCGATCATAGAGATCCGCTGAAATTGGAATTGTTTTAGGAATGACAATCCAACAATCACCACAGCTTAAATACTCTTTCCAAAATTATATAATAAGAAAATTTAAATCAAAAGCCAAACGATAAATTCTTCGTCAAACACAGCACAGAATTGACTTATCAACAAACAAATAAAGTAAGATCATGTTTAAAAAGATTACATTTTATTAAAAGTCATTCGTTTCAATGGTTTGAAATTAATGTCGTTACAAAACAAGAAAGCTATTGCATTTTCGTAACGTTATTTTCACGAAAAAGAAATTAAATAACATAGATCTAAAGGCGAAAGCGTTAATAGATCAATTGGTGAAACATTAAATAGAGAAATGGCAAGAGTTGAAAATTACAGATAAGAATTCAATGGAGCGGATGATGATGTAAAATATCAAACGATAGTGAATATCAATTTTCAATCATTGGAAATACGACGTGAAAGCGATGTGTACATTTGAAAAAAAAAAAAAGAAAATAAGTGATTCCGGGCAAAGCGTCAAATTTATCATTATGAAATTCTATCCATTCTCTTCGTCTGTAAGCCATTTTGTTACTGTGAAACTCAATTGTAGCTTTACACGATTATATGATGCTAACTATATCTGTACATTGAAAATAATTATACTCATTTAAGACTACGATTTAGTGGTTAGATACCTGCCCACCTATGCCTTTTTATTACCTAATATAGGGACCAGCTCAACGTGAATCTGGCGTTCGCTTTGCACCCAAACCTGCCCATATATTTACTACACTGACGTTAGTCGGATATATAAAAAAAGACATATTATTATATCCAAGGTGATCTAGCATTTTCATGTTATTGTTTTCCAAACATTATCATAAAAACATTTATCTAACATGGAGTAAACAAAGCAATTTTAAATTTTCATCACTTTTATTTTAATTCACTAGGCTGAAAAATAAAATCAAACAAAGCCTTCAATAGACTGTCTTGTAATTGTTAAAAAATAGTATCCATGTATTAAAACGAGCTGCTTACTGAGTGTATTCGATAAGCTAGTCCTAGTTCGCAACTAATCATTTTCTGGTAAAGGATCTTATAAGCTTTTTACTGGTGGTAGGACCTCTTGTGAGTCCGCGCGGGTGGGTACCACCACCCTGCCTATTTCTGCCGTGAAGCAGTAATGCGTTTCTGTTTGAAGGGTGGGGCAGCCGTTGTAACTATACTTGAGACCTTAGAACTTATATCTCAAGGTAGGTGGCGCATTTACGTTGTCGATGTGTATGGGCTCCAGTAACCACTTAGTACCAGGTGGGCTGTGAGCTCGTCCACCCATCTAAGCAATAAAAAAAAAAGTTTAAAAAGCCAAATAAAAAAACCTTTGTTTTGTATAATTACGCTTGGACCAAACAAAAGCACAGTAATCACAAGCAAAGTTTTGCAGAAAAACAACAACTAGGCGATGAAGATTATGTACATATCTCTTCACAAAGACTGAACAAGGTAAAGATTACTCTCGCCTGGAGATTTCGTAATAACCATGTTTATGTCCCGTAATGAATTTAAGTACCCATAACTTGGCTTTGCTTCACGTGCAGTAATGGGTGCAGAAAAATCGCTCGGCTGGATATTAATGTTCAAGTGTTTTGGATTCACTGGTTATTCGTGCCATACTGTATTGCATTTTTTTATAAAGTTTCAAAACAATTCAATCTAAAAAAATAAAGATAAATAAAGTGTTTATTGCTATTGAATTATAGAAAAAGTAAACAATGTGATATTCTGCAATAGGATCCTTAGCCCTAGGTCAAGACTGTATCGCAAAAGATCCACAAAATTACCAATAGATTTAACCTACGGAGGCATAACACACCCCTATGAACACATTCAAAGGTGTATTTATTGATAAAGTTAATTTATTTGAACACATAAAATAAATAGTAATAAGAAAATTAAAAATAAACAAATTACTTTGTCTAAGATGTTTCTTTCAGAAATTAGTATTTAATTGAGTAATTAGTACGAAAACAATAGATACTCATTAATTTTCATAGCTATAATGAGAGCAATGTTCTTAACTAAATAAAATCTAAAAAAAACCAAACACAATAAACCAGTTTGACAAATAATAAATCTCGCGAAAGATACACATTCGGATAACAAAATAAAACAAACATTCAAAATTGTGTAGGAAACTGATGTATTCTTATAAATCAAAGAAGCAACAAATCATACTTCTAAAAATTAGTGTAATTCAATATAAAATAAATAAATAAAAAGCTGACACTATAAAATCCACAAGACCAGGGTTAAGCACATTTAGTATTCATTCTCGAAATGGAAAGTCTTCTCGACGATACTTTCAAATGTAACGTCGAGCAATGAAATGGAGATTCACGAACCGAATGTAAAAATGACGAATCAACTAAATCGATATATTTCAAAAGCGGTAATGTACATAACAAAAAGCTTTAGGATAAAGATCAAATAAACGAAAGGTTAATTATTCTTAAAAGAGGAAATGCTATTTTTTTTATTTGTCCGTATTGGAAGCAAAAATTCAAAAAAAGAACTAGGAATTTTAGTATTATTTTCAAAAAAAGAAAATATTTGAGAAAAAAAAAAAAACCCGCTGAGTTTGTTTCGCCGGTTCTTCTCAGGACTGTGGCTTTTTTTGGAACCGGTGGTAGAGTTAACATTGTTATTTATATTTTGACATTCAACAAGTGTGTTATACTGACATCTAAGTTGAAATAAATTAATTTGAATTTGAATTGAATTTGAGCAGGAAGTCAATGTCAATAGTCGAAAGTCGATTATAAGATGATTCTAGGTCTAAAACAATTTTCTGGTTAGGATCGGTTAGAAAAGGGCTTCGCTGTACCACTAACATCGCTGACGATCTTAACTTGGTAATCACTCTTCATCAAGTGAGCCGTATGCACGTCTATCCAGAAAGGTACTTAAAAAGATTAAATTCGCGAAGTAATCTTGTTTAATGACACGATAGCGAAATCTAAAATCGGCAACGGTTAAACAAATGTTCTGACTATCTAAATAATGGATGTGTCATTACAAGCAATTACAATATTTACCAGCAACTACATCAATCAAGACAATGACGAATATATTTTGATAAAAATTTATAATATTAGAGTACGAGACGCAATTTATTTTACGTGCTTCGTCGAACACGCTCTAACAAATCATTACTACAATATCTTTTATCTGAGCTAAACATCTCCGAGATGCAACATTCGTTAACAATCAGTCAATGTTATGGAACGATGCAAATAGCAATGTTACGTAGATTTCGTTTATATGAACAATGAACAGACGGCAGGCGAGCATTCTACTCCCCTGTTTAAATATAACCTTACTATTTATAAATGTGTCATTCGGAAATAAACGAGACAAATAAATTGAATGGGGAGTGAGCTTAGAGTATACATACTTTAAAGCTTGCTTATGTATACTCTAAAGGAGTGAGTCATTCCGGCGACCTATGTTAGCCAGCTGAATTCTGACAGATTTATGTAAAATTTAAATTTTCAGTTGGTATAGATCTTACATGAATGCTTCCATCCACCTGGAGATACGAAGTCGAAGAGACTGGTGGTAAGAGCTCATGTGAGTTCGCACAGGTAGGTACCACCACCCCGTCTATTTCTGCCGTGAAGCAGTACCTACACACGCGGACTCACAAGAAGTCCTACCACCAGTAATTACGCAAATTATAATTTTGCGGGTTACATTTTTATTACACGATGTTATTCCTTCATCGTGGAAGTCAATCGTGCACATTTGTTAAGAACGTATTTCATTAGAAAAATTGGTACCCGCCTGTGGGATTCGAACGTCGGTGCATCGCTAGACACGAATGCACCGGACGTCTTATCCTTTAGGCCACGACGACACGTTTTTCTTTCAAAAGGAGTTAAGAACGTCCTTACTTTAAAA